TGTAACAGATGTAATTTTGCATAAAACTCTTGAAGGGGAAGCAAAGTCTGGCATGAGTCAGTGCTGTGCCCTATTTATCGCTGAGCTGATACCATGAGGCCAAAACCTCACTGCTAAAAGATACAGTTCCTATGAAAAAAACTTACACAAGCCTCTCCTGTGCAGCACATCTTTATAGCTCCAATAACCACTCTGTCGTGTCCCACTGGCACTATTAATGTCAGATAGAGGTCGGTCCCTACCCATGCAACCACAGCAGCAGTTCTCCTCTGGTTTGGGGTCAGCAAAACGGTGGATTTCAAGCACACAAAGGATTACTGCTAAACCCCAGCCACCAGCTTTAGCTCTTAAAACCTCTGGAACGCAGGGGCACGTTTGCACTAGAGGAAGGAAATGGGAAACCTGCCTATCACCCACCGCACACCACCAGAGAGAGAAGTTCATCAGGTCTGGGCTCCTCCCCGGGTTCCCCAGCCCCAGAACCCAGGAGGGTCTGGGCTCCTCCCCGGCCCCACAGTCTCTCACCGGGGAGGAACTGGGCCCAACCTGGGCTGGCAGCCCCTCACTGGGACGGACCGGAGCTTCTCCCCAGGTTCCACTCGAGCCCCGCAGCCCCTCACCGCGAGGGTCTGGGCTCCACAGCCCCTCACCGAGGAGAACCTGAGCTCCTGCCCGGCCCCCAGCCCCCTCTCTGAGCAGGGCCCGTGCTCCACCCGAGCCCCGCAACCGAGGAGGAACTGGGTCCAACCGCGGCCTTGCAGGCCCAGAACCGACGAGGAGCGGGGCTCCACCCGAGCTACACCCTCACTGGGCTGCACACCCTCACTGAAAAGGGTCTGGGCTCTCCCTGGGCTGCTCCACAGCCCCACAGCCCCTCACCGAGGAGGTCCCGGGCCGCACCCGGAGCCTCGTAGCCTCTCACCGGGGAGCACACGGGCTCCACAGCCCCGCACCGGGGAGCACCGAGGGCTCCCCCCCGGGCTCCCCCCGAGCCCCGCAGCCCCACTCTGTGGAGGCCCCGGGCCCGGCCCCGCTCCCCACCCACGTTACCTGTGCGGAGGTGGCGATGCCGCGGCGCAGGGCGGCGCTGGTGGCGGTGCTGAGGCGGGACAGCATGGCGGGAATGGTGGGAGCAGCGGGAGCGGCGGCACCGGGGCTGGCGGCGCTCGGTGACTCCAACGACCTCCACGGCCTGCGCGACCCCGCCTCTCGCGAGACTTCCCCCTCCCCTTCCCGCCGCGGGCGGCAGTCTCGCGAGATCTGGGCAGAGGTAACCTTGGAGACGGGCGGGCGTCGCTCCCCGGGCCGGGCGCAGGGAGAGGGCGGGATCGAGGTGTCGCGATAGTCGGCGACAGCCCGCCGGGGATGGCAGGGGTGGCGCTCTGTGAGCCCCGACACCTCTACAACATCATCAACCAGTGCCGGCGGTTCCCGCGGCTGGCGGAGCCCAACTACCTGTGCCTGCTGGGTGAGGCCGCGGCACAGGCCCGTCCCTGCCTGCTGCTCCTGCCTGCTGCTGTCCCTGCCTACCCCTGCCCATCCCTGCCTGCTGTTTCCTGCTCCTACCTATCCCTGTCTTTGTCCCTACCCCTGCCTGCCCCCTGCCTGCTGCTACTGTCCCTGCCTCCTGCTTATCCCTGCCCCTGCCTGCTGCTGCCCCAGGCTTTTCCTGTCCCTGCCTGCAGCCAGGCGCTGTGCTCAGCCTGGTCCTGCTCCGGCTTTCCTTATGTCCAGCTCTCCCTGCTCTGATCCATCCCATGGATACACACTCTCCCCCGCTACTTCCAGCAATTTTAGAGGTGGACAAGATCTTTCAACCATTTCACAAGGATTGCTGATAAGCATTTGCATCTTGCATAGTGCCAATACCCCCCAGAAGGGTGTCTGATATTGCAATATTATTAAATGTTTTGGTGAAGGAGTCAGCCAGTTTGGGAGTGGGGTTGAGGTCTCTCTGGTGCCCCTCTGCCCAGCTCTGGGGCAGCAGAGGCAGAGGTGCTGGGCAGAGGTCAGAGCAGGCACAGGACTGGTGCTGGGAATGCTACAGGAACACACTTGGGTCAGGACTAAGTCTGCTGGCATCACTTGGTGTTGCACACACACTCACATCCATCCTGGAGGTTGTTATAGCCACACCAGAAAGCCTCAGTTCCTAAAAAACCAAATCACAGAGTTGTCAAGGTTGGAAAGAGACTTTCAAGATCATCCAGTCCAACCATCAACCCAGCACCACCATAACCACTCCTAAATCATATCCCCAAATGCCACAGCCCCAAATCTCTCTTCTCTGGGTAATGCCAGTGCCTGAATTCCCGCTGACCAAATCACAAACAGAATTCAACCTTTACAAGCCAATTGCTCTGTCTCGGTTGGTTTTTTCAGATGCCCGTACTCAGCGTGAATTCGACGAGAGCCACATTGTTACAGCCCGCAGGATTGAACGGGTGAGGGCATTGTTTGAGTGAACCACCCCTTGATTCAGCAATTAGCAGGAAGCCAAAACTGGTTTAAAACCCCCGGGAAACGTCCCATCCTCTCCCGTGCCTGTTGCAGCCGTGCTCCGTGGCTGCCACTGGGGGGATGTATTCTGTCACAAAGCAAAGGTGGCCTCAGCAGCCCGAAGGATTGGCACATAGGGGCTGAATATCAGGAAAAATATTGCACAAGGACTCACATCTTGTAGCCTTGTCTCGCAAGGACAGTGCTGGCATCTGCCCCGCTGTGGGTGATGAAGCAATCAGAGCAGTTTGCATAATTTCTGGCCCCTAACTGGGGCTCTCAGCGTCACTCACACCCACACGGACAAACCAACACGTAGCTAGAGAGTTGTAGCTTGCAAGATGTCGGGACTGTTGATGCCACAAGAGCAGAGTGGAGCTGTGCTCCTGACAGAATCCCTCTGTGATTTTGTAGAGTCCTAGAGGGGAGTATCTGACCCCGAATGCGGAGGAGTTGGGCTATGTCAGACACTGTGTGGTGTATGACTACAACACCAGCGTTTTGAGCTGCTGTGACTATGATGAAGAGGAGAAAGAAACAGGTACGTGGGACCTGTATCAGTCAAGACCTCACTGCCAGAGAGATATTCATCCCATTCCTCATTTAATTGTATGCAACTCATTGGAAGAGATGCAAATGTTCCCAGTTTTAATTGAAAAATGATCATCCATTCTATGCCTCTGGTTTTTCACTGTGTTGTGTATGTTCTTAGGCTTCAAAAATCCAGGTTTTATTTCAAAGCATCCTGGCAGGCCTGGTTTCCATCTGTGGATGATCCCCTGAAGCTTCTTGATGCATGTGAGGAATGGGTTCTTTTTTCCCCCCCACATTTCCCTGAGACTGGGCTTGTCCAACGATTGCCTTTTAGGGAGCAGTGCTGCTTCAGGGACCGGAAACAGTGGCTCAAGTCTCGTGCATTCCCAGAGTGAGTACTTCCTTCTCTGAGGGCTAGAAAAGGCTTTCACATCATGATACTTAAAAAGATGTACCTTTAATGGGGGTGATGATTTGATGGAGTTCACCGGGAAGTGAGAAGAGCTGGAAACCTTTCCATGTCATTGTTCAGCCCTGCTTGAACCATGGAATTGTTTAGCTTTCACACATCCTTCGGCAGGGAGTTCTGCTGTGTGCAGGACTTCTGTATGTTTATTTGGCTCTTAGGAGGTTTACAAAGTCTACAATAGTTTTAGCAAAGATTTACATCACTTAACAAAGGAAAAAAACGTGGGTGTGTAAGGGGAATGAAAAAGAAGGATGTTCCTAAATGCTCGGTGATGAGGCATTAAAGGGAAGGTGTGAAGAATCCGAAGTGGGTTTCTATTGTGCTGATCTATTTCTAAAGCAGACATAGCTAGAGGGAAGCAGGATGGATCCCTTGGGAAGAGGAGCAACCATCTCACATAATTTACTTCATTGAGGAGAGTGTTTAAAACACTTGAGAAGGATTTAAGACACTTCCTTCTTTCCCCCTTTGCCTAAAGCAAACTAAAGAAAAGGGCCTCTGTAAAGCTACGATTAGTAGATTTAAATTAATAATACTTCCCTCTTGTGGGAACTTATTACAAGTATTTCCCAAAGAAAAAAGAGGAGAGAAAGAAAAAAACCCAAACACCTTTCTCTAGACCTACAGAAGAATCAAGGAGAGGAATAAAAGATCGGACAAGAGGTGAAAGCAGCACACAGGTACAGAATAAGTTGAGCTTTTAGCAAGGTTTTCTACAGAGCATTAAATTAAATGAAATGGGAATTGCTGTGGGTGTTGGGGAGGCAGATGATGGAGACACTGAACCTGCCCTGGCAAACAGCTTTTTGGTCTCCTTAGGTACTCAGGAAGGAGCTGCATTCCTACATGCCAGAAACTTTCAGGAGTTCACCCGCCACCACGTGCTCGTCCTGAAGGGAGGGTACAGGCAATTTTCAGCTTGTTTTCCTTTTCTGAGGACTCAGAAGACACTGTGGATGCCTCAGGTGACATGAGACTAATCTGAAAGTAGAATTAGCATTCATATTCAGCTGATGATGGCTGATGAATTCAAGTTAAATGGCGTTGCAAATGTAGTATCACAGTAATTTCAAGCAAAGGAATTAAATGTCATCTCAATTGCTGTGCTTGCCCTGAGTCTCACCACTGATTCTTTTGCAGCCACACTTTTTCCTCTTCCATTGTGTGAAAGAAAGCTCGTGGAAATAACCTGGGAATGTTTCCCTGATAACCCCGAAACTGGCCTGGGGAGAGTACAGATAACTGAACAAACACTAGCAAATGATGAAAAGAAGCAGGGTCCTCTCTCACACGTGGTTATCTGGGATAGTACACAGCAAATGTTTTCAGACAGAAGTGCAATTCCTACCAAGCACTATGTTCCATGTGTTTTCATCGGGAAGGATCACAAAGCAAGTGCTGGTGCATTCTCTCAATAGGCCCAGAAAGAAAACAGCAGTCCACTCAAACACTGGTATCCTAATATTTGGTTTCACCTACAAACATCGATCTATTTAGCTCATGAGAAACAATCACCCTTTATTTCACACCTAGGACAGGACCTGAGGCAGGGCAGGCTAAGAAGGTGCTGGTCAGCAGAAAGCATCTCATTGCAACGTGTCCTTTGTTCCCTCCTGGTTCACAGGAAACAGCCCATGACACTGTGCTGACCTGTGGGATGCTACAGCACAGGAGGCAAAATCGATTCACTTTGTGCTGCTTTGTGAAGGGCAACACATTGCTGAGCTCCCCCATCGGATTCACACGGACACAGAGTACCTCCCTGCCTCTCAGTTTAAGCTGTTCACTGTTGGTTTAGGCTGCTGCTTTGTGCTGCTGCAGCAATAGCAGAGTATCCATCAAGATGTCGAGGCTTCTTGTGTGTTTTCATTCTCAGCCTCCACGCTGCAGGCACCGGAAGCAGCTGCAGAGTTGTGCTCTGCCACTACAGGGCACCTGCAGCTCTGCAGGTGGCAGATGATTTCATTTAGCCCTTCAAACAGTAACCAGGGAGAACATCAAATGGATCTGTTATGCTGCAGTCCCTGCAGACAATGGGAAGGATATATTCCACCTCCTGTTTAGTCAGGGTTCGTTTCAAGTAACACTGCGATGACAGTGATGCTGTTAATTATTCTCAGTAAATCTACTAAAGACTTCAATATACAGAAAGTCCAGGTGATTGAATGAATCATTACACTAAATTGTGTCATGGGCTGTTGACTAAGTGCTTGTTCAATTCTTCACATGACTTATGTTTAAGAACTTAGCAAGCTAATGGGAGCAAAGACCCTCTCTAACCTGAGCCTATGGTTTCTTTCCGGCAGGAACTAGACAACTTCCAGCCATACCCTGTAGAAATACTGCCTTTAAAGTTATATATGGGCAATTTCAAGCAGGCCTGTGACCAAAAAATTCAGAAAGATCTGAGGATCAAAGCACTAGTCAATGTCTCTGAACAGCCTGGAACACTGTAAGTTAAACAGTTCAAGGTTTACCCTCACCAATGTCTGTGATGTGAATAAATGAGGTGGCACAGAGTCTGTTCACAGAGCAGTCAGTGCCTGTGAACTTCCAAGGAAACCTCTGTTGTTCGCTGCAGATTCCAGTGCCATTTCATGCTCATTTTTCCAATCTCTACCCCAGAGCAGCAACACAGTCCTGCAGCCCTTGACCATGCCATGGGTGGGTTGGGTGAGAGGAGTGGGAAACACAAGGCATTTCGAGTCTATCATATACTACCATTCTCCAAGGAAAAACCTATATCTCTGAATAGCTTTCAGAGCAAAATCTTGCAAACACATCAGTGTAAAAGCTAAATCACCCATGTGTCACATTGCTGGTCTTCCTTCCTTCCTACTCTGTCCATGACCAGTCTGCAGGTTGTGCTGGAAATGCCATTTCACACAGTGAAAAATCCAGTGGCATTTCTCAAGGAGGTGACCCAAACAACGTCAGCAACAAATCCAATTACCCATCACCCAGGACACGTGTACCAGCAGACATTTCTCACACCTTTGGCTCTGGAGGAAGGTCTCTGCACTGTGGGTAATATTCCCATGCCCTCTGCGTGATGTGCTTTCACATTTTGGAAATTCCTCACCAGTGTTTTGCTCTATGAGTTCTTCGAGTTGAGTTCTCTGAGCTTTTGGAAGGGGGAGATGCTGTCATAGAGAATGACATCAAGTGACATGGGGGGGCTCTGTTCACAAAACAGCCAACACACACGTGCTGTGAAGGCACGTTGGCTTTTAGTTCATCTGTTTGCATTTATCTCTCAGATAAAGGAAGCTGTAGGTTAAGGCAGTGATGCTGATACCACGTAGAGTGGAAAATCAGTAATTAAACTGGATCTGTGTTACAAACATCTCGGTGTCTCACCATAACAAATCCCTTATCATAATGTTAATGATGATGATGATGAAAAACTTACATGTGTAACAGCAAACAAAATTATCACCTTGCCTCCAACAAACACATCTTGTCAAAACTGCTTCCCTGGTCCATGTGGTCTGTGTGCTCTCTTTCCAGGTTTGCAGAAGATGGTGAATCCCTCCACATACCTGTTCCAGATTCACTTGAAGCAGATCTTTTTTCTTTCTTTCCCATCATTTCTCATTTCATAGGTGAGTTGATCCTGATCTGGAATTCCTGAGACCTTGCTCACTCGAGGATATTAGATGGGAGTGACAGCAATTCACTCCAACAGGAAGCTCAGGCAGCAGGGTCGTAATCATTCACGATCAGCACACTCCCAAGCAAGCCCACACCCTGATGGATGGTGGACCTGCCTCACTATCCAGCCTGTTGGCCAGAGAGGAGATTTTACAGGGCATCTGAATCTGATGTTCCTGCTCACTGTAAAGAACATCTCACTCTGGTAACAGGCAGCTTTCCGCCTGACCTGAAAAGGCTTTGCTGTAAAGTGTGCACCAGAGCTCCATAGGATTCCCTCTTAGTCCTTTGCAACAACCCTTTGACTCTTACCAGCCCAAATCTTCAACCATCACAGCTTTATTTGAACCAGAGTGTGACCCACATTAGGGAACTTTCCACAAGGTGCTGCTAATCTTTAAGATTTGCAGTGCAAACCCACCGTAGAGCCTGAGAAGACTTTCAGGTTGGGTGGCATCAACCTGCCTTTGGCTGATTACATCAGATAGGGCATGAAAAAACACACTCTCCAGCTCAGTGCCTGCAGCTGCACAGCAGACACGGCTCCTGCAGCTCCATCCTGTGATGCTGTCAAACCCTGTCGTTATCTTTTATCACACTTATCAAATAACACCTGCCACAGAGCAGGGCCCTGCTGAGCGGAGTCTTGTTCAGAAGCAAAAGACCACCCTGTCCCCACAGACCTTATAATCCAAGTACAATATCAGAAATGACAACTGGATGCAAAGGAACAAGGAAACAACATTTGAGGATATAATTTTGTAGTCCTGAACTGGATTTGATGATTTGCATGTGCCCAAATGCTGAAATTCACTTGCTTGCCTTTCGTTGTACCCCATGTTTTTTCCCAGTAGTGTTTCAGAAGACAGTTTCTTTCTCCCATCAGTTTGTGCAAGTTTCCAAGGCAGACTACAAGAGTTTATTATCTTTAGCTCTTGTGAAAGTATTACACTGTTTACTTGATAGTGGAACTGTTTACTTGGCCCTCGAGAGCAGAATATTCAAATTGTAACAGTTATGGGTGAACACCAGACCAAAGCTCTCCACCTACTCTGAGAGGAGTGTGGATATTCTCATGCCAGGTGTATGTTGGAGTGAGGCAACTTCTACTCAGGTTCTTAGAACAGAAATAGTATCTCATTATAGAAATAAGTTAGAAAATGCTGTTATGGTGCTTGAAAAAAAAAAGCAAGCAGAACCAACAGAACATCTCAGCAACAGTAAAAGGCTTTGCCCTATGAATTCTATTGTTCATTTGCTAATATTCTAAAAACATCATGCTGTCTAGAGAGAGAGAGAGAAAGGATTAATTAAATATGCAACCTTCTTGGCACAGGCAGCAGAGTTAATGTGGTTAGGAGCCACTGACAACATCCTGTGGTAGCAAATGGGTTTGCTGATCTTTGCAATTTTCACCACAAAGTATCCATCATAAAAACATCATAAAACCAGTGCCCCAGCTGGCATGTACATGCTTCCTGCTGGTGATGTCCATGGGGAGAGGGAAGGGATTTAGAGTCTCAGTCCCCTCCAGTTTGGGAGCTGATTGCTCCAGCCTGCATGGAGAGCAGGCAGTTCATCAGAAATTTCAATACCTTTAAGCCTTTCTGGGAAGAGTTTGAGCAGGTGATGTGAGTGATGCTGACCACAGCTGATGAATCGTGGTAGACCACATTTCTTCAGTTCCCCGATGTAAAGGTGACACTGATGTGCAATGAAGCATTGACTGGTTATTGTCACTGGTCCTGGTCTTCAAAGCCACATTTTAACCAAGTGGATTTCTCAGAAAGGCAAATGCTTACAGAAATGGGAGCTGGCAGTGCCCATCTGCTGCTGTCAGGGTTCCTAAGGGCTCCTGTCGCTCAGCCTGTCAGCTGTCACCGAATTAGTGCTTGGCTCTACCTTTGGAAGCTTGATTTCCCAGATCATTAATTTGTGATTGGCGTTTCTTTACTCAGATGCTCAGATGGATGGCGGAGCAGTGCTGGTGTTCTCCAGCCTGGGGATAAGCCGGAGCAGCACAGCCATCCTGGCCTATCTCATGCATTCCTGCCGGCTTTCCCTGAAGGTATGTCACTGTCACAGTTCCCACGGAGACTGGCTGGGTCTGCACTTGATTTCTCTTTCTGAAGCCTCATCACTGCAGCAGTAGTACATTCACTGTCTGTGATTTCATGCAGAATATCCACGTGATAATGTAACTGATTATATGATCAGAGATTGCATCTTCTTTATACCATTAAGGAGTTGGCTTAAGTGTGATTTTGGGTCTGTGAGTTCTTACCCTGGCACCTGTGATATCCTTGCATTTCCCTACTTAACTACAGGGCTATAAAACTAAAGCTGTGGTTAGAGAACATGGTATTTCTCTCCTGGATCTGAGAAAGAGAGTGGAAGCTACTGCAGGTAATCCCACCTCTTAATTCCATGGTGTTACAGGGAAGTTCAGAAACCAGTGTTTGCAGGGCTCTGATTTACCACTGACTTCAGCATCAGCGCTGACCCCTTCTGAAACCCCATTTTATTTCTCCAGAAGCAATCCCCTCCCACAGATACTGCTGTAGAGAAAGCTGGAATGGGATAATACTCACTCAGGAGAGATGTATAGGTTAGATGGCCAGTACATGCTGTTCCATAGCTCTGAATAATGTAAGAAATGGATGAAGGATGGCTGAGAATGGCCTGGCTGTGCAAGAGCCTGGTGGCCTCTCCCCTGGTGCCCTTTCTCCCTTTCCATACAACACATGAGTATTGTGCTGCCCTAAGCACTATCTCATGGTACCTGCTAACACAGAGCAAATGAGTTCCCATGGGAACTGAACAGCATCTCCTTATCCTTGTGTAGAAAGTCTCCTCTGGGAGCTTGAATGGATTGATCCAAACTTCACTTAAGCTGGGCCTGTATCTAATCATTTTATTGATTTTGTGCAAACATTTGCAACGTAAGAGGAAATCTCTTTCCGTGGCTGTGTGCCAGTGGGTAATTAGAGGCTGAGGGTGCCAGCAGGGCTGCAGACATGGCTCAGTCCCTGCACTAACATGGGTGTAATTGCTCCTGCACGCTGATAACCAGCCACTTGCACACTGAATTTCAGACCGGGCTTGCATGGCAGTGCAAAAGTCAAAGGCTGATCCTTGCCATTCCTCTCAGTTGGCACTTTTACTAAGTGCCCCCCCCCCAAAAAAAAGAAGAAAAGGTTGACAGGGCAGTGCTTGCCCACTGTTGGCTGGGCAAAGCTTTCCTGGGGGGATTACCCTGGCAGGCAAGTTTGTTTCTTGCAGACAAAAGCAGTGCAACAGATTCCCGTGTGATTCTCCAGCCAATCCAGGCAAAGATCTTTGAAAGCTTCCAAAAGCAAGGCAGATTTGGGATGTGTGGCCCCTTATTCTGTTAGTAATCAATATGTGAGTAGATCTGTTGAGTCCAGGGAAACTGGAGACACCCACACTGTGGTCCCAGAGGAGTAAATATTGGAAGATCAGCCTCAGAGCCTGCAGAATCACAGAGATTAGCAAAACAAACCAATGGAGCACTATCTGCTGACCTTTGGTCTCATTACACTTAAGCAACCCTCCAAGTGCAGGGGGCAAACTCTTTTAGAAGCAGGAAGATGAGCACTGCTGGGAAAACACAGGGATGCAGCTGAAGTAATGCACAGCAATGCTGGTGGATCTGCCCTGTGTGTGTCAGAGTCCCTGGGTGATTACTTGGAACTGATAAATAGTTAAGATGTCTGTAAATAATGCAGTGGGATAACTGCAGGGTCATAGCTGCTTCTGCCACATCAGGTCACACCAATCCAAAACCATGATAACCTTTGTTGCTTACCTGTGAATGGCTGATACTTTGCTGCTTCGTTCATCATCTGTGGAAGGAACAGCATTTTAGGGTGGAAAATCCAGGCCTGGATTTCTCCATTGGTGTAAAATAAAATAATGCAGGATACCTGCCAGGTAATGAAAGCAGCCTGAGCTGTCCTCATATCCAGGAGAGCAGAGTATGAACAGGACAGGCTTCTCTGAAGTCCACATCTGGATCCAGCCTGTCCTGCTTTGGCAGCCAAAGTCTTGCCTGCAGGTTCTTGCTGTCCAGCACAGGGAGCAAATACAAAGCCGTGTTGTCTGCAAGTGTAGCCGTTTCATGACTTTCAGTTGAATTCCTAACACTTCTTTCCTTTTCTTCTGCTTACAGGGAGCTTGGGATTACCTCCTGAAGTGCAAACCGAGCATGAGACCCCACCGGGGCTTTGTGGAACAGCTCTCGGCCTGGGAGTGCCAAATGTACGGGACCAACATCACAGACATCTCTGAGCCAAACTACTGATAGGGAACACCCTGCAGGGAAAGGCACTCCCTTCACACCACCAAGAAAATGACTTGAACGCTGTTTGAGAAAGACTTCAGTGGAAAAGCTTTCCTCTTTAGCTCCATGTTAC